CCCTCCCTCCCTCCCTCCCTCCCTCCCTTTATTTATTTCATTTGCCTATGGGCCATATCAACGTACAGGTTCAAACACATATTACCATATCCTTCTAATCATTGACTCCATTCCTGTCTCTCTTTTAATCTTCATGGTTTCTGAGATCCAGCAGGCCTCCTCCGTTTTCAAGCCCAAGGATCAGATGCTCGGCTTTTAAAAACAATTCCTGAGATATTTAGGAAGGCAGCTTCTGCCCTTGCAAAACCCACTGAATGGGAATGGCTTTTATTATGTAAAACTAAAGCTAAATTTTGCAGAGCAGAAGTCTTACATGTGGTAGGAAGCCTTGCCAGTTTAGAACAAAACGAGGGTGTTAGAACCTCCTTTAAACAGAATGTGGTCTCCCCAACCCAAACGGATTGCTGTTTTCCGATGTTCTGAACAAGTTCATCTTTTTTTTCCGTAGGACAACACGAGCCGCTGAAGGACCCACCTACAGTGGGGTGTGTAAATGTTTCTGCCGATCCAAGGGCCACGGCTTTATCACGCCTGGTGATGGAGGCCCAGAGATCTTCGTCCATATTTCTGAGTAAGCAAACCTCCTTTTGGAAACAGGGTGCTAGTCCTCTTGCTTTCTGGTGGTTGCAGAATTCAAAATACAAGTAGCCTTCAACTTTAGAGGTAAAGGAGTCCTGCGGATTTTACTCAGTTGTTGCCAACTACAGGGAACAGTCAGGGGTGGGATTCTACCGGTTCGGACTGGTTCTATAGAACCGGTTGTTATGGGTCTGCACAGTTCGGAGAACTGGCAAATCGTGCCCCTGGCTGGCCCCGCCCCTCTCCGCCCACCCTTCCCCTCCCAGTCAGTCCTTATCGCGCATGCCCGACATTGCTGACTGCATTCTCCCCCGCCCAGTCACTCCTTAAGGTATTTATTTTTTTCCCTCCCAACGATCAGCTGTTCCAATGATCAGCTGTGCCGGGATCCCCCTCGCTGTCTTACTGCTTCGCCCAGGAGGCTTCCCTGAGGCCCAGGAGGCCAAAAAACGGGGGGGGGGGGGGTGTTGCAAAAGAAAAAGAAGAAGAAGAAGCCATGTCCACCCAGTCACATGGCCACGCCCACAGAACCGGTTGTTAAAAAATTTGAATCCCCTGGGAACGGTGCTTATTTCCATTTCAAGGCCCTTGTGCCACGGCTGTCCAGAGACATTTCCATGGTCAGATGTGAAGCAGGAGCAAGGACGAAAACTCTGCCCGTTTCGTGGCGCTCGGGTTTTGAACTCGGGCTGCCAGCTTTCTCTAACCCTAACTTTTCAACTTAGAACCATTTCTTTAAAAAAGCTTATAAAATTGGGTATGACTTATTTAATGACCGCGTCACTTAACGATGGAAGTTTGGGTCCCAATTGTGGCCGTACCTTGAGGACTATCTGTAGGGAAACATAGTTGGAAATGAGCAATGATACCTGAGGAGAGGGTACCTGGTGGGCTTCAAATTCAGTATATGTTCATTTCATTGACGGTGTCTGAGCTGGTTGGGTACAATCAGGGTTCGGTCATCCCTTGAGACTTTCAAGAAGAGAGACTGGACTGCCATTTGTCAGAAATGGTGTAGGGTCTCCTGCTTGGGTGGAGGGGTTGGACTAGATGACCTACAAGGTCCCTTCCGACTCTGCTAATCTGTTATTGCATTGCAGAGGTCAGCGCAAAGGTCAGCCAAGGGAAAGCGAGGAAGTGGGCGGAAAATAAACTGCCCTTCTCTAACTCTATCATTTGCCCCACAGAAAGAATGCAACAGGTAGTTTGGGTTGTTCCTTCTGCAAAACAAGGAGAAAAGATGGAAGGGAAGACAAAGAGGCATTCAAGATAATAAGCAGGTTGAGAGCAGATTCTCTGTAGGAAAAAAAGAAAGAAAACCTGGTGCTTTGTAATTTAGATCCAAAGTAGGAGGGAGTCAAAGATAAATAAATTCACACACATGGTAGGTAAGGACACGTGGATAGAAATGTATTCCCTCTTCTGGTTTTTAGTACAGTGGGCTCAGCCACTGAAAATAATGTTGAGGGCCCATCAAAGGAGGTTGTTCTTTACAAGGGAGTCTGAGCCAACAGCAGAATGTGCAGTCAGCAAGTGACGGACACCAAGTTAAGACGGTTTTAAACGTGGTCAAGAAATGGCTAGGAGGAAGGCTTGGCGGCTGTTTCCTATTAGCACGCAGGGGTTTTTTAAGTGCCAGTCTTGGAAAGGTATGTTTTGCGAAGAGTGCCCAGATCATTACTTCTTTTGGCTCCAGAGACAATGGGGATTTTGAACTATCATTAGCTGAAGCAAACCACTGAACAGCATAACGTAACAACTCTGCGTGCCAAGCAAGAGGATACCCAGCTGCCAAGGAACTCTTTAATAATGAAGGAGAAATGCCCCGTGGACAGTTTCCACAACACCTAATGTTCCTTGTAGAAGCTCCCTCTTATAACAATCACCCCACAATTTTTAAAAATCAAAACCTGGTTACCAGGACTTCATCATGGTCTAAG